ACCATAAATTCAGGTTACTCGTTTTATAGTGTTGTGTTCTCATCACTCCACTGATTTACACACAATGAGGCAAAGATGTATAGACCATAGGAGCAAGTGCTGTTCGCAAACACTTGTGATGAATGAGAAGACGTCTCAGGTTGTGTGTGGATGTGTGGCTTGCACTGTGCTTGACCACCTTTGCCGTCCCAGTGATAATGTTTATGAACCACATCTGGCACTCTGTTGAGGCTGAGTCAACCCAGAGGAGGACCTGGACACGATCAGATGGTACCACTTGTAACTGATGGGCACACCGCAAACACGCACGGATCCCCGTTCATCATCGCCTATTAATGGTGGACAAATGCATGGTCTTTGTTCGAATCCTGGCCTCCACTAAGTCGACTCGGCCTTAAATAAGTTATTGGTGCAGCGTGCAAATATGAGAACAGCAGAGACAAAGGTGGCTCGGCGTGGAGCCAATCTGCCCTTAGGAGGTGCTCACATATCTGTATGGTACACATGGGCGCATTCACAGTCATGCAAATTACAAAACACAATTTGGATATAGACGCAGAGGAAAAAAAACAGTTTTAATCTATTTTAAGAACGGGACTACTGTGACTATGACTACTGTATTCACGTCACATAAGCACTTTGTCGACAGCCATTATTTTCATGCTCAAATTTTTTTCTTTGGAAACGGAAACAGCTGCTGCTGCATTAGATGCAACCCAGCAGGTATGCTGTTTAAAGGTTAATGTCACAAAGGAATTTTTAGAAACCAGTTTTTGTTGTAGTGATCTGTAAACTGTGTATTTTGTACAGGAAATGTCTAACTTTGCATTTCTGCATAGGGTAGTGACACGGCACCGACGATCGCGTGGTCGCTGCTCATTGCAGATGTTCACGGTTCAAAATCCAGCGGCAGCCCTGATGAATACTGCGCTGTCTAATAACGATAACAGCGCTATGCGCCGTCTGCTTCACAGTGGATTAGTCACTAATGGTGGCACAAAAACACGGTCTTTGACGTATCCCCACAATAAAAAGTCGCAGTGTGTGATGAAACGCACGCTGCACCGCAATTACAGATTGAGTCTTGCTGAACTGCAGAACGCAAAGCGCCTTGTGTTGCGGGGTCGCCATCTTGCGAATGACTGAGGCTAGGGGCTGTTTGTGCGCTGGGAGAGGCATCTCGCGGTCATCATTTGAAACTCTATGCCCCGCCCTCTCTATGCCCCGCCCTCTCTATGCCCCGCCCTTTCAAGTGGTAAGAGTTTCATTCATGGGCGGTTCGTGGTTGCAGAGATATAGCGATTTCAAATCGGGTCCATCTTTTTTAAACACCCTGTAGTTATCCCGTTGAGAGGTTATGTAGCTAACCGTGGTGGTCACCACCCTAAGTCATTAACCCGTCGAGTGATTATATGGTTAACCCGTTGTATTAATAATAAACGTGTTGCCTCCAAGTTCGAGTGTGCGCCTCTATGGAACCCACTACACATTTCATTAGGTGGAACCAACTCTTTTGTTTGCCTGAACATGCAAAGCCTGAACCATGCTAAGTGCCCCACTTGCAAAAAAAAATGAGTAACATTAATTGAATTTCACTTCTACGACTCACGTACACTTTGCACATATACATGTTGGTGATTGTGAAACATTCCTTTTACCATGCTTTGTTATTCATTTTGATATCCTTGAGACCTCAATTGTTCCTGTTTAACTCATAGCGCTTAAACAGGTGGAAGCATCTCAAGGAACCTAGCATGATCCGTGCCTCCCGGCAGTGTCTCCTACTAGCCTTGGCTGATAGCGACACGTTTACACTTCTTATTAGATGTGAATTATACAGGATCATTGTATTCAAATACGATAAGAAGTACTGTTCAAGTTGCTGGTCATTTCTTCCCGTGATGTCATACAAAGTCACTGCTATATTATTTCACTACAGCATTTTCATTTTCTGACACCGGTAAAACGTGTTTGCGTGCAATCAGTCCGAGCTTGTGTTTTGAAAGTACAAGGAAGTAATGAGAGTCCCAATTTGATCGATGAATTTTCAAAAATTCAACTGACTAGTGTAGACAGATCCATCTCAGAATCCACCAATGTTTGCAAAACATGTCCACGCTGTGTTCCGTTGTTCTTTATCTCATTCCGTTGCTTGCAAGAATTTGCCTGCAGGTATTACACCATCTCGTGTTTCTTCATCTATGCAGGTTAAACCACATTTCACCTTTCAAGCACCTCGACTATGCAAATCTCTTTTGAACTCAAACGTATGTAAATTTTGTGTACTATAATGTATCTTCAAAATCACAGATATCTCCCTGCTAAAGGCAGCGTTGGTGAGCAAGTCACAGTGGCGAGATGTACATTTTCTCGCCTGGTATACAGGAGGTCGTTGGTTCGACCCCTACCCTGACGGCTGATGTATATTTGGAGTTTGCGTGTTCTCCCCGTGGTTGCGTGGATTTTTCTCCGGGTTCTCCGGTTTTTCCCTCCACATTTAGAATCGACATCACGCGTTTAGGTTATTTGGCTGACATACATTTCCACGTGATAAGCCACTTCGTTAAGCTATTATTTGTGATTGCCACGTCGCTTCTGAAAAAGAGCTATTTAGCTCTGTGTGCCTCACCTGGTAAAATAAAAAATAGTTTGGTGTAGATTTGGCGGCGCTGGTCAAACACGACAAATGCCACATTCCCATGGTAGGTGCCAGTCTCGCCATAAGACGGCCACTGTGGACTCCTCCACAAAGAGTTCTGTATTTATTTGTTCCTGACCCTGGATGAGAGATGGGTTAATCTGAAGCTAAACCAGGTTTTTGTTTTATGACCTACACATACTCATCATATATGTTGAACTTTTTTCGCACCGTACGTAGCCAACCGTGCTAATCGGAGGCGTTTCACAGTTTGATTTGTCATTGTTTTGTTGCAACATTAAAGGGCGTTTGTGCACTGTGTATACTGGATGGGAATTGACAGCCGCGTATGTTTCCGCGGCTATGCTGCGGAGCTCCGCGGTGAATTTTTGGGTTGTACCCACATGTTTGTTCAGCGAATGCCGAGAGATTCATCATTTCCTGAAAAAGCTCCCAGTACCGAGCGCGAAACATCAGACACCGCGCCGAACCACGCACGGCACACTCGATATAACACATCAGAGAGCTCCAGTCTTGTGCGAATTTAAATTATCGTTTTGAACAGAAATTGACATGTAACTATTTTTAAATTGTCCAAATATAATCATGTATATATTTTTAAAATCTACATATTTCCACGAGGATCATCAGAGAACATAACATGTACTACATATACAGGTAATGTCTAATTTACATATACATTACACTTTGTGGGTCATGGGAACCTTCTAAGCATACTTCACCACGCTGGTCAGTGCGAGGTTGATGAAGATGGGACAGCATAGATGTGGGAACATCGAAGCACAACTATGTATTTGCCACACTGCCTTCTGATGTCCTGGGGAAATTTGTGAAAATCTGACATTTCTCCAGTGGCAGGCAGCCTGGGTACGGGCCGACTGCTGTGGACTTGCACACAGTGACATTGTGTCAGCAACCCTAGAGAAAGCAGAGGCCGGAATTGGACAACGTTATCTGAACTCATCGCCAGACACAGAGGCCTAGACCTCCCGTGCAATGTGGATGGATGATAGCTATAAAAAGGCTGTCACCACCGGTAGACACCCATCGATTACACATTCAAATATGCAGGAACTAGATTTGCCGATACACTGCCAGGCTACTTCAGTATTACACCTGCATTACTGACACGTGCCAGTTTTTACACGTGAATCATGTATTTACCATTACATTGCTATCAATGACAGGAAATGATGACGGTGGTTTATGTTATCTACTGTTCTTTTACTCTGGAAAACAAGATTAAACCAACGTGCCCGATTTGCATATTATTGTACCATCAATCATTTCCTAAATTATAAATACCTCACGAGTTAAACTACCCGCATAACTATTGCCGCCCAAAAGTACACATGCAATAAAAAAAAACACGTAATGATCCTTTGCTTAACCCGGAAAGGTGCATTGCTCTGAGTCACTCGGTTAATTAAGAGAGGCAACAGCAGCAGCAGCGGTGATGATGATGAAAATATTCCTTTCTTGTGAGAATTAACACTTTTCTCATGCCGACAAAATCAGCCTTGAGACTCTCACCTGCTGTTGATGAATAAAGAATGCACCACAAGCAATGGGAGTTGAACGTGCAAGTCAATGCAGTATGCCTGTGCACAATCTACCCTGTTGCCATGCTGTTCATATTGATGTATATTTGTGCCCATTACCCAGAAAAGCCTCACTGCATCGTAAGACGTTTTTAGGGGGGCTTTATATTGTTTGGCCAATTCCATTAATATCTTCTGCAGGAAATCGGAGTACCCAAGGAAAAGCCATTATACACTGGGTTGACACTCAAACGTTAAATAACCTTCACCATCACGACCCAAATTGTAATCGGAGTATAAATGTTGTTTGATGTCCCCCGCCAGTGCTTTTGGATGTGAGACAATTTACCCCCCGCACTGGCCCTGCCACGTGTTGGGACCATGCGGGATTTTAGCAGCAAACTTTATTCTATTTTCCCAAAATGGCCGCTTCAACGCAACGTCCGCTCGCAAATTGATGCCGAACCGACGGTTCTCCATAAATTGACGTGCAGCTCCATTTTATATTTTACTTTGTCCGTTAACATATTGGTCCAATGGTCCCCCTCGCGATCCGTTTGATGTTTCTGTAACTTCAATTGTCATTGAGCCATTATCAGTCGTAGGCTAATCTGCCCAAGCCAACGTTGTGCCCTTCACGGAGTTTTCTGTTTGCAGTTGCTGAGTGTTGTTTGTTTCACTTTATTATCTTGATTTGCTTTATTATTTTGATAACCCCCAAGTCTCCCCTGCAAATGAGTCTCTTTCAGGGTCTCTTTGAATTCGCACTTAGTGTTAAACAAAATCAACTTGAAACCTGCTTTATTTTACGCATCTTTATTCAACAGGTGTAGTTTACACACAAAACGACAGTACAGCAATCACAACAGCAGTTCCTTAATCAAATTATAACACAGCGCTATGCTATCCCATACACGAAAATTATAACAATCCGTCTTCATGCAAACCATTAAACTGTTTATATAACATACAGCATATACATACAGACTTTGTATGTAGGTCTACCAGGTACATACAGCATACTGTATATGGAACATAATACACATTTTGTTTGGGTTAGATCGCGTAAATATGTCAATGTGTCGTTAAACCCGCCACCACACGACACAGCCAATTAGTAATGCTTAGTGTCATGTAAACAGAACGTGGCCAATTCGTTACTAGTACAGCATACCAGTGTGTTGAGCAAAGCCACAACATTTACAATCCGTGTACGACGTTTCGCCAGTAATTACAACTAGCTTCAGGTAGATGCGATGACGTCACTTGTGAACCCTTCTTGCGCGAAGTGGGGGGGGGGGGGGTTAATGAACGCATATAAATGACTGTGGGTATCCATTGCCGTTTGTGTTATCTATATGGTAATCAGCGTACATTATGCGTGCGTATTATGGAAGCCCATTGTTCTTGTACCTCCTGTCGATTGCGTGTACTAAAATTGTCGTACCAACGGTAATCCTCTATTTAAGTATGGTGACCTGTATAGGCATGCATTTAAACAATGTATTATTTGATGATTCGATTCCAAGCAGAACTAAGTCTGTAGCTATCTGAACGGTTACAATTATTTTTTTTATAGATTTTCTAATTAGTCTTGGCCAGTAGTAACTAGTTTTGCACAGAACTTCAACATTATCAAAATCCATTGAGGCTGGCGTGTTCTGCCACCGCCGACAGTTGCATTTTGAGAGTTTTTAATATCTATTTGGTTTTCTTTTAGTCTCGTGCTGATCATTCGTCTTGTTTGCCCAACATAGCATTTGCCACAAGTGCAATTAATCCGATACACACCTTCTGTTGATAGCTTTGGTAATACATATTTTGTAGCAGATAAAACATTTTGTATTTTATGTACCGTGCCAAATCTGACTCAGATGTTTTGTTGCTCGTGTTATTTGATTTTGTTTTGGCATTCAATGCCCTGTTGATTTGTACATCATTGTAACCGTTCAATTGCGGTGCTTCTTTAACATGTTTAATTTCACTTCTCAGACTATCACCATCTGACACTTTCTTAGCCCGATGCAAGAGCGAGCGTCTTGATGAGAGCGGATTTCTGTGCGGGGTGATGGTGTGACTGCAGTAAGATAGGCGTCAGTGTGCATTTTATTTCGGTAAACGCTGTGTGTTATTTTACCATTTCGACCGCGCCATAGTAGAATATCCAGAAATGGTAGAGTTCTGTCAGCTTCCACTTCCGTGGTGAACTGGATGGATGGTTTTTGTGAGTTGAGATGATTGAGAAATTCGTTTAGTGTATCTTTGCCATGTGGCCATACCACCAATGTGTCATCCACATATTTAAACCAAGCAGAGGGTTTTGGTGTGCTTGAAGCTATTGCTTTTGTTTCAAAATCTTCCAAGTACAAATTCGCTATCACAGGAGACAAATAAGAGCTCATTGCTGCTCCTTCCTTTTGTTTCACGAAGTCACATTTCCACAAGAAATAGGTGTTCGTTAGACAGTGTTCAGCTCATCGTGGGATATCTTTGGCTAAACCTGTGTTCGTTACCGGTGTCGGAACCCTCGTGAACAGAGAAGTCACATCAAAACTATACTAGTAACGAATTGTCATGTTCTGTTTACGTGACAAACCTTACTAATTGTCTGTGTCGAGTGGTGGCGGATTTAAAGACATATTTATATATTTACGCGATCTAACCCAAAAACCCTCTATTAAGGATGATATTGGTCGCGAAAGCCTACGTGTTAAACTGTATATGGAACATTCGCTTATACAGTACTGCATGTACGCTTGTAAATATAACGTATACATATTCATAAAGAACACAAACGATATGCGTGCAGCTGTGCATATAAATATGCACCTCCGTTTAGCACGGTTGGCCATGTAGGGTGCGAAAGAAGTTCAACATACAGATGTGTCAATGATAATGTATGTGCCACAGCTATATCAACACTGCCAAAACGCGATTGCCGCTGCTCAGACGACAGCAGAAGTCTTGTGAAAATTATATTCAGATATATTTCTGCCCAGAAGAGGTGCCCCTTGGCCGTGTCAGTTTCTAGGCCTCAGGAGTAAGACAATGAATAAGATAATCATTTTTAGTCTCATGCAATTCGACATGGAGAAAGGAAAATTTGCCATGTTAACTTATAATATTGTGTACAGTGTGATTTACAGTTAAGTTTATTTTTACTAAAAGATCAACGATGACATTTTGTTCAGGCTATTTACTCTATCCTCCAGTGTTTTAAGAGTTAAACCCAACAAAGGTTCTTGCGATGACAGTTGCTGCCCATCAATATCTAAATCGCACTCGGCATCTGAACGCCAGGTGACACTTCATGTTCAAGTTCAAGTTCATTTATTAGGTATAGCCCTGTGAGCCTTACGGCTCTTGAATCATCTACTGGCATACAACGTCATCAATTATACAGAAGTTAATATCAGTGAAGGTCTGAAATTGGGAGTGACATGGAATGGCTTATTCTTACAATAATACATATTAAGGGAAGTTTTATATCCCCCAGGTCAGTATATGGCAAGCTTTTTGGGCTTAACTTCCCATGGAAATTGTCATGGAGAAATTTAACTGAGGGCTACATACAGAGATCGTTCAATTGAATGAAACGCACAAAGGATATTTACAATTTCCCTACAAGGCAGCCACAGAGCTAATGTTAGCAATGCTCTTCAACGTAAGTGCTTTGCAAGCATTCTACATTACTCTTTGGGTTTTGAGTGTCAAGTTACAGTAGCATACCAGGAGGCATAAAACAAGACGCATTCTAGAAACTTTAAATAACAGTCACCCGTCACGTTAAAGAAAGCCATGGGAAGAGACACAAACGAATGATTCGCAATAACCATTAATTACCACAACCGCCAGAAGACGGGACTGCCACTTCATGGGTAGTGAGTATTTTGTTCACTGTCATAGTTGACGCCAAAGAGCCTCTCTTGTCCCAGTGACCGTGGAGAAGTGGCTCATCGCTGGTGGTGGCCAAGCGCAGTGGAGACAAAAAAACACTCACCCCCAAGTACACCACACTTTCACGATTTAAGTGAAGCCCATTTTTTGCAGCATTCAAGTATCTCTGCTGAGGCCATCACAATTTCTTTGTCTGTTTGTTGTCCTTCCCCCACACCTCCAATTAGCGGGGTTGGCTACGTACGGTGTGAAAGAAGTTCAACATACACACATTCGACACACTTGAAAGCTAATGATTTAATAATCTATTGTACATGTGGATGGGATGTGAACCCAGCATCTCAGCATGAGTTCTCTCAGCCGCTACGCCCTGCTGCTTTGGAAATTTCTTGAACGTAACGCACCGTGGAGAATACAATCCTGGGCTACGGTGATAATGCCGTAACAATTATTCTACCAACCAAAAAGTACAACGTACAGTCGGCGTCAAATGGACTTTGGGAACCCAGTGACTGGCAACTCCAGTTGCAACAAATGCACCACAAACTACGGCATAGGCAGTGTCGTGTATGCTCAGTGGGACGACTGGACTCTGAATGTGGGATCTCAGCAGGGATGGCTCAGTGCTCAGTGCTCTGAGTGGCACACGAGGGGGAGTCCACACACAGCGTCAACATTCACCGTGCTCCGAGCGCCTCGGAAGACGGCCACGAACGAGCAAGCGCTTCTCGTTGAGAAGATCGCCGCTGTAACCCCCCAGCGTGCGTGTGCACTCATCGTGAGCTGTGGGACGTGACATTACTCCATGTCCAACAATCACATTTTGCGTGTCTGTTTAGGATCATCTCATTCGTACTGACAGAAGTGGGTGGCTGTGAATGAGAGGAGCATTCCACAGCATTTTTGTTGTTTTTATGCTTTGATACAAAGCTTTTTCGCAATTCTCATGCCCTTTTACAGTAAGATTTTTAAAACCTTGGGCTCCGAGGGGCAAATACACAAATCCCGTAAAACAAATCCTTAAAAAATAAAGAAATTCACTCTTACCACGTAAAATCTTAATGTACGTTAAAACACAACTATTTTAGGAGTAGAACCTCTTACGCACTATTAATGTATGGTATTAACAACAACGACAACTAAATAAAAGCTAACGAAATACCACTGACATCGTGGCCCCACCCATCAAGCCGTGAAGGAACGCCGCGATTACTGCGACTCTCACGGCCGTTCTCAGCGGTAAGCTCAGCTTTGGTGTTGCGTAGGATGCGATTCACAATGCCACAGTGCTAATTGTCTCGGCCTAGAGACTACACGCTAAACGGACTGGTACAAAATGAACAGGCGAGGGTGTTCATTTAATACCAGCAGGAGCAGAGTATAATTGTTGAGGAGCGTGCTGCTCGAACTCGTGACTGGAGCCCCTTGCCCTGATCTCCCTTGCCCGACCCTCACGCTTGGCAGTGCTCTCTGCAAATAATGATTCTCCACAAGTCATCCACCCGGATACACTGTCCGGTGTGTGACGGTGCTCCCCCAGAACATACGACGACGACGACGACTCGATGTCCGAGGAAGGAGGAGGCAGAGTCACAGTGATACAACTCCGGACGCAATCGCCTGGCTCAACCACCCTCATTGCAAAAGTGCAGTTGTTGCTCTACAGCAGCATGAGCCCTACGAAGAAGTAATCCGACGTATTTACAAATTTTGTCAAAATTACAAACGAAATTCATATTTTGCCTGACATTATCGGTTACCGGGCAGTGATCGTTTCATTTATTACGCTTTAGAACCTGGTGAGATCACAGGTGGTTGAAACCCAGATGCAAACCCAGTGCTCCGAAACAGTCCTTATAAGCCCTCTCAGCCACCTCTCTACACGACATTATTTATATGACATCTCTGTATATATCTATAGACATCTCCATAACGCTGGGAAAATGAACACCGCACTAAAAATGAGAGAGTCGGGACTGTGACATTGTGAACGTGCACACACAGCCGTCGTTCGCTTTACCGTCTCGCTCAAGCGTGCCGCTCGTTAAATCCAGAAACGAAGCAGAGCTGCTCATGGTCCGTAGGGCAGCGGGCGGCGCTTCGGGGCAACGCAGCGTCTAAGCCGCTGGGCACCGTGCTGCCGACTGTGCTTAACGGCCGCTGCGTTGTTCTCTACGGACTCCTGAACTGCAATAGAGTGTTGGGGACGAATCACGATCCCATGCAATGGCAGGCAAAGGTGGATTTGCGAACACAGACAGACGTCAGATGTCCATTCACTGAGGCCACGACTCTCCGAGTTGAGGAGTGGTAACTGGCCATTAGCAAGTGATCAATCATTCACAATTGGCTTTGAGTGTTAAGTATAATTGTCTGTTACCAATTCCGTAAGGAAAAAAAAATGCTTGTGAGAATGCAACGTTTGAGTTCATTGCAATCAATATGAGTAATTGTGATTTCTCCGACCATTGCATATTCTGAGATGTTATGTATGAGTGGTGTGCAGATTAGCGGTACAGTGTAGTACATTTTCCCATACAGAGACAACAAACTACGATACATATTTTACATTGAACATATTATTTACGTTTAAAATATCTATTTTTATAATGCCCATTTTTTTTTCATTCTAAACTACAACTTAATAATAAACAACATCTCCCACAGGGAGTTACTACAACCAATGGTTGTGTGTATATACACATTGTATATATGGGTCTGTATATATGGGTCTGTATATATGGGTCTGAGGGGCTGCTTGGTTCCATGGGTCAGTGCTCTAAGAGACCCGAAGTCAACTCGTAACTCCTCGTCGTCATTGCTACCAAATTATTGGCACGAATTTGTTTCGAGATAAATCCACTTTACGTTTCTTCTCTATAAATAAAAGTAAACTCATGGAGACGAAACATAAAAAAAAAATGTGTGATATCACGGTCACACAGTGCGTGCACTCAATTAGCACATGGATTACATTTAAATGACAACGTTAGCAGCTGAAAAGTAAAATGATCTTGGCGACGTAGACGTTTGAAAAGCCATGGGTCGAGATGAAGCATGATGAGGAATCCTGGGATTGGTGTTAATGCGCCCGAAACGAATAACAAGGCAGTTCCGCATGACAGATTCTGACATTACTCCCACGAGGGCTTTATCCGTGGGAGGGGGGGGGGGGCTTTAAATATTTAAACAAAACAAGTGGGCAAATATCCCAATCTGGTACGCATGGGTGACTTTGCTATTTTCAATATTACTTCCGTGAAAGTCAAGTGAAAGTGAAGTTAAGGTCAAGTTAAGGTCAAGCTAAACAGTGGACAATAGGAAGGTGCACGACGGATACAAGAGAATGGAGTTTTGCGAGCTCCATTATTTCCCGTTGGATTGAAGTTTAGCGACCGTATAGACACTCAGACATACCAATCAAGTTTAGCGATCGTATAGACACTCAGACATAACAATCAATTCAGATTGTCCATGTGCTCTATTCAAGGTCAATAAAAACCAGGACATAATAACAATAATATCTGACAATATCAAAGAGGGGAAGAGGCTACGTGGAAATACAAATCACTGTTTAGATTGGTGGATTACCAATACCAGGATGGATTGCGTCCTCGGAACACGTACATGTTTCCTTAGACGGCTACCTCCAAACGAGGGGCGATCAGGGCAAACCCAGGACAGGTGGCAACCCTAAGAGCAGCACGTGTAACAAAGTGGCTCACGATCAGTAACTGCCCACCGGCCTCTGCCTTCTTTTCTTCTTGCGTGGTCTCTGTGCCTTTTTCTTCAATCGGGCAAACTTACTGTTGAGCTTTTTTATCTCCTTTTTGAGCTGGGACACTTCGTCCCGGCTGCCGCTACCGCTTTTGCCCAGGAGCCCCTTCTCCTCCGCACACTTCTCGCGCTCTCGTTTGCCGCCCGGAGCGGCGCTCGCGGTGGCGGCACGCGGCGCCTGTGGAGTCTCTGGCGCCTCTGCAAAGGAAGCGATAAAGAGACACGTCACGTTCACAGAGCTACAAAACAGATGCCGTTTGTGCTGCTACTGTGAAGGTTTTTTAGCGGTCGTGCCGCGCGGCTCTCCGATGCGTTTTCAGGTCGGACGGCGTGTTGTTTGGCGCGATGTCTGACGTTTCACTCCACGTGCCGGGAGCTTATTCAGTAAGCTGATTATTCTGGAACTGAAAAAGCTCCCGGCCGGTTACAGAATGGCAGGTAAAGGAGGAAACGCGCCCGAACATGAAGAGGAGATGGAACGATGACATCGGCACATTTGCAGGAACACGTTGAAATGTTGCGGCGTGAGACCATGGTGAATGGTGATGCCTGGGGGTGACGTTCTTCCAGCAATGGATGAATCGTGGCTGATGATGGTGATGGGTGGAATAGTTTACTCGTTTTTGTTTACAAGGTACATGTTCCAAGAATGTACACTTTATAACTTTTATACCAACAACAGCATTGTAAAGTAAGGCATTTGCGTCTACAAACTCTGGCCTTCACTTTATACACGCGTCTATATGGCAGTATATGGCAGTATAAAGGCATGGCTCATATGAATACTTGTTGTAAAGTATAACTGTAATGTTGGTTTTGTAAAGACAACGACATGCATTATAAGCAGACAACACCACGAACATACAAAACATCGGCAGGGCCAAAACGAGACACAAAAAAGACAACAGAATGAGCGAAGCACAGCAACAATTCATATTGATGGACATTCCACATTCAATCGGCAGGGACTTGTTTCTCTAAATCAACCACTGCTGGCTCTCTCCACAAGTCGTGGCGTACGACGATGACGGTGTGGTGGTCATTGTTCATGTAATAACAAGTCCTGTAAGTCAGGTTTTTTTGTAGACTTTGGTGGTGCTGTAATTGCAACACACCGCTCACGATCTTATACCAAGTTCAAATCCTGCTCTGGGTTCGACTTGTCTCATCATCACTCCAGGGTGAATAAAATTGGTACCACTTTTTTGGAAGGTAAACAGGCATCCTTTCGATAGGTTCGATCACTGACATTAGAATATCAAATTTATTGATGATGGTAGTGATCGCGATTGTTATAACGATTGCTACAAGTCAGGTTTCTATGGAGTAGTGACTAAAGCTTCCGTATATTTGGACGCTCACAACAGAAGGGCTTTGACACCAGCACACATTGGCAAGTTGTTGTGAACGTCGCCACAGGGACTTTAACTTCACGGAAGTATTCATAAAGTCTGAAGTCAGCAGGACTCTGACTCAAACCAATTCAGCGGCGAGACCTGCTCAGCCCCCGCCGATTGCAAGCGTCGAGATGGTAGAAACGGTGCGTAACATAATAATCGCGTGTGCTGTGTCCGTCTCTCACCGGATATTGTGAAGAGGGTCGGTTTGCTGCGAATCGCATCCACTTTCTGGGCAGCCACCTGCAGAGTTTTGGTCAAACAGCAGTGTCACAAACAAATTTCGTCACTCCAGCCTCTCACTCGCAGCTCGAGAATAGGCACAGAATAATCATCCCATCTCAACCGAAACACGTTGCAGTGTAACTGTTTGAGACATGTGTGAGCGTTAGGGTTTCTTATAGCGCTGGGAAAACTCATTGTGCAAGGAATGCTCGTTTCCCATGGGAACTTGGTTACACCACAGCAACCTGGTGACTACAGCAACAACAAGACGTGAACAAAGCAATCGTTCATCAACATCACGGTACAACCAGCACAGAGAATACGAGGATAATAGAATGCCACGTACAAAAAAACACATTCATAAAACTGCGTCTGTAAAACAGAGCAATCAAATACACGTACATGTGAAAGGGCATCTGGAGTCCAAACATGATTTAACTAAAACAGAGATAAGCAAGGTTTTGATCTCAAACATTTGGCTCTAGCCAGATATTTTGGAGGAGAGCAGTAACACCGAATGCATTTGCACCAGGTGTGGCTCACGCAACGCGTGAATCGCCATTAATCATCAGTAATCAGAGGGCAGTGGTGGCATCGCGATGATGGACCACTGGGAAACCCGACATGAAACACCCCCCGCCATGCGGGGCGGAATTTTAATTGACTCCTGCCATATGGTTGGTGATTGATGTTGGCCAAACATTTCTGATACATTCTTGAGATGTATTATCATGGGTGGCAACAACAATAAAACCAAAATCCAAAATCCAGGGGAATATCGAGATGGGATGGAAGACTGTAAGTCACTGTCTTGTTCAACTGAACAATGGGTTGGCACTCATCACGACAGCCAAGTAAGTTAAAGTTGTTTTTGTTTAACCCAGGCTTGATATCTCAAGAGACCGGGATAGAGCCTCATTTTTAAGAGTGACCTGGGGCATCAGTGTGCCAGTCGGGGGCGATGATTGCTGCTGTGTGTTTAATGCTCGTCGCTCACAGCATTTGCCCCACAAATCCATGAAGGCTATACAGGGGGTCTCTGTCTCCGTCCGGTGTACTGGTGGTTACCTGCACAGTATAATCGCCAGGCTTCAGATCTCTGAATGTGTGAGAGGCAAACTTCTCATTCACCTGTTCCTGTTGTGGAAACATAAGCATTGCAATGTTTTTTTACTGCTCGCAAATCCATAAACCACGAGCTCTGGAGGAGCAAAGTGGTGGAAATTCCACGTTCGATGATGTCGATGATGGCTATGCAAATGATGATGGCCAGAAAGGTGATGGCCACAATGTAAATCATAATAATGATATTCACAGTGATCACAATGATGAGTGTAACATGCTTATCTATGTTAGTTCTCAGAGCTGGAACATTGCCAATTTAAGTACAATTTTTTTTATATACAGTGGTTATTTTTGTACTGACCAGTCATCGGTGCCCAGGCTGAGACCCTCAATGCACCAAATTTGAGATCCTGGTGTGAGTTCGTGCTGACTTGGACCCAGCCACTGTCTCTGTGCTCTAACGTGGTCATGCCAAGCCCTCTGTGCCACATGGCCACCTCGATTTCCCAATTTCTCAAGCCATGTTCCCAAAGTTGACGTGATATGGTGATACCATGATATATTTGTACGATATATCCACGAAAATCGTAAAATCTATATTTCTCAATATCATATCGTGATTATGAATTATTTGATTCTATATTATTTCCAAAAGTTTTTTTTGACGTAACAAACACAATCACTCAAGTTGTAAACAAAACATTGCTAATGAGTGCTTTACAAAGATTTTCTGGGAGCAGTTGACAGTAACAATGGTTATGATGTCGTAACTCCGTTGAACACGTCGGAGGCTTTCGCAACCAATATCATCCATAATAGAGGGTTTTTTGGGTAGGATCGCGTAAATATATAAATGTTTTGTTAAACCTGCCACCACCCGACACAGCCAACTAGTAATGTTTGCCACGTAAACAGAAGATGCCAATTCGTTACTAGTTCAGCACACCGGCGCGTTGGAGAGTAAATCCACAATGTCTTAACTGTTGGAGCTATCGTAAATGATTACCGTAGCTTACAGCATGGGCATGATAAGCATTACCGATTGGAAAGTTAGAACGGAAAGACTTATGGCAAGCCAACGTCGAGTGAACACACGAATCGAAGAAGACAGTTGAGTAACCTCTATCTGTACTGAGCGTACTGGGATATTGAACTTCTTTCGCACCTTACGTAGCCAACCGTGCTAATCGGAAGTGACGGTTGTGGCAATGAAGTGCAGGGCGGTGCGGGGGCCGGGGCAAACCACAACTTAAAACCAATCCGGCAGCATCACATCTGACACCGCGACATCGAAGCGTGGGGCCCCCCAAAGCACAGGGCCCGGGACGCTCGCCCCGATTCACTGTAGGGAACGGCTTTGGTCGCTCATGCCCGGACGTCGCCGTTGGCGCGGGAGAGGACGAACGAGGCTGGGCGCGGCGAGCCGCCTGTGGTCTCACCCCCTGGACGGTGGCCATGGCGAAGATCCTGGGGAACCAGGCGTAGAAGTCGGGCACGTCGCTATCGGGAGGCTTGCCCAGGTACAGGTTGTACCTGCGCACCCGGTGTACGGGCGTGGCGACCCAGAACTTCACCGTCGCGGTCGAACCGTCTACGGAGGCGTTCACCTGCGCCGGTTTCCAATCTGGAACGGAGTTGGCACGGCGCACACCGTCGTCAGAGATCGGGCATCGCCACCGCCGTCGCCACAACACATCGACGTCGCAAAGCTGTGAAGCTTCGCGTCGTTCTCCTGACGAACGGATCATCGACCACGCGTCAGACAGCCCAGTCAGATCCATTTACAGATACCCAACTGATTTCTAATGTATCCTGTTACATCCTCAACGGGTGATTGAAAACGGCCGAATCAACGGGTCCATATCTTACGGAGGAGAGCTTTAAACGACTTCATGAATGTAGTGAGATGGGTGCGAGAGGTGTAGTGGATTTGAAATAAGATGTGGTTTTCTCCATAACTTGTGATTATTTGTTAGTGAGATACATTGGCTGGAGGCCCTGTTTGCCAGTGGTGTTACTGCTACCTCAGGTTGGTGCGTGCGTGCGTGCGCGAGTTACGAACGGGCAGAGTTAGTCTCACCGGGTATGCAGAAGTCCTCAAGGCTCGGGCCTTCAAGACTCAAAATCTCCTCGCAGCCTTTTGGGGAAGAGAGTGACAGGAGCATCACGTGATTACGCCCACGGCGGGCATGGAGCGCACGGCAGGTGGCTGCTGACATCATTGGGCACCAGAGTTGAGAGAGTCTCCTCCGCTGATTTGTGACTCTTCTCGAAGCACTCGGGTTGGTACCGAAGCTCGTGTTGGAATCGCCCTCTTGTGCTCCCCTCTCTCTCGATTTGGTGAATTCACGGTCAGGAAACCCTCTTGCACTCACGCCCCACGTCAACTGCGGCCACATTCGCAGCTCTGTTATTTGACAACTGTGAATTCTCGAGTCTCATTTATCCTTTCTTTGTAAAAAAATATTACCATTGCTGTTTCTTTTTTGCTGTATTACTCCGTTGCTTTGTTTGAGTTTATATATAATTGAGGGGTTCGTAGTATTGAATTCAAGTGACATCTAGTTTATGTACGACTGCGTCTATGTACGTGTGTTTAATATGTCTACCTATGCAACTTCCTCTGAAAATGTCTGCAATTGCTGACCCCAGATTAAGGGCTGGACAGAGAGGTCCACAGCTCATTGGGTTCTTCCGCCTAAATTCAAACATCTACGTCTCTATGTATCTTCATGTCACGCACAAAATACTCGGTAACGAATGATCAAAACAGGCTAAATGGGACCCTTCTCCAAAAGTGTCTCTGGACCCAGCAAGGCTTTGTGGAGCAAGCAACGCATAATCGACGCATCACGCGTTCACGGGCAGCGCCCTTCAGTGACGTTTTCTTATCCTGCAGTTTTATCGCGGCTATTTCGTATCACGGAATGCGTGGGTGGTTATACAACACGATGTGCATGTGAGCTACCCGTCGCTGGCTGGCTGGACCGTGCGGAATCAGTGTGCATCGCCACCACGGGGCGAGGGGGTGGCGTGGAGGACGCATGCAAATGTGACCCTAGGAAGGAAGGAAAGTCTCGAGCGAGGCGCGCACACGCAAATCGGTATGAGGAACTTCAAAAGGTCAACCGTGAGCTGTTAGCTCGGGGCCTGACTGAACATACAGCGACACGCCGTAAAAGCAAATAACGCGATGATTCATTTTAAACTCCGCCGCCACCGCCGCCGCTGCCGTCCCAGCGGTTCTGCGAGCTCGCCACTGGGTCGGCACTTGCACTCCCACCGGGCGGTCCTCGCACACAAGCCACGGAAAGGAGACGCCGCTTCAAAGTGATGCGCTTTGTAAGAGCCAGCACACCGTGGCAGTCCTCAGTTGCTGAATGTTAGAAGGTCACACCTCCGATGAGCAAGGTTGGCTACGTACGGTGCTAACGAAATTCAAGATAGATACACAAAAATACCTCGTTTGTTCCTTGTGCAATATTCATCAAGGGCCCTGTAGCCCTTCTCTAGAATGTCGATGTTTATTTTGCTGCTGCTGCTGTGCTCCTGCAGCGCCACAGATCTCCTGTGCAGAACTGCCGGGCAACTGGCTCGGTAGGTTCTTCCGTGTAACAAATAATTTTAACTTCAACTTATGTTATTATAAGAATCGTCAAGTTTGTTGGCAATGTGGCACAGTGTCGTGATTTCAAACTGTTGTCAGGAGTACACTGAGCCGATCACCTTCGTGGGTTCGTGAAATTAACCAGTTTATGGGACGACAACGAAGATTGTCCACGGACATGAATGTTAGTATGAGGGCATACTTTGATTTTGAACAATAATGATGATTAAATAAACTTTTATAATCATATATAATAAGCCTAAGGTTAATTAGAAAATCTTGGCGATGGTACCCCCATGTTTAACTTGTGAAAGAGACCAAAATGACATATCCCCTGGCAAAATAAATGATGCAGTTTTATTAGTTTAAAATCCATTGTACCATACCAGTGGCACAATGCAGACCGATCGTTTAATATTTCAATGTAGGAGTCACTTTGCAAACATTAATCTGATATTGGCTACGTTATTTATAGCAGATGACTAAGCAAAGTACACTCTATTCTGTACATGGACACATGTAATTTGAATATTGCCCCATCATTGAATGGCACATTGTGATGTAACATCACAGCACAGCACCCTACTAATTTGTATAAATCCGGCTGGGTGACACTGTACTGAGGATACTGCACTCACAACCAGAAGTCTACAAAGTTAAATTCCCAACAAGGGGGACAAACTCACTCCGGTATCCTTCTAGGGTCGACAATATAATCCTTCGCTCTGTCATGGGAATGTGGAATTTCCACCACTAGTTCAGGGCCATCAAAGAAGAGGAGCACCACCCCATGCTCGCTTGAGCAGGGGAGACACTGCGACTTTAACACGGTGGGAGTGGAAAATCCGTTTAAAAATATCATGGGTGAAATAAGTAATTTTTTTAATCACGTTTAATTGCTATAATCATCAGCTGTGGTATATCCACTGCTGGATAATGGCCTTCCCACATCTCTTGGGACGAGTTTGATGCCACAATCCGCATCACTCCTGCGCACGACTTGATCTCATTGGCGCTCTGTGAGCGGCGCTCATTCTCTTGTCCGTGTTTATGATGAGCAAGTCCGGGCCATGGGTGGCAAGGCGAGGTTTAAAACAATTACCGGTAGGTTTGAAAAGGTTTAAATAAAAACCTCAATATCCCGAAGAGCCAGTTAGGATGAGGTTTTGAGGTTTATTATAAAAAGACGCCATTTTGGTTTTTGCAGGAAGTCTGACAGAAGTAACGGACTGCGGAAGGCCGGAGCCCAGAAATGAGAAATCTTGGCATTACCTGAGTTACTCGCGTCATCAAACGAACCCAATTTCCACCGCGAGCAGGATCATGGATCAGGACCTGGATGAGGATTTACTCGATTCCAAAAGAATGTGATAGTGATGTCGTAATTGTGATGGAGAACATTGGAGTGGCCGACGAGGCGTCGGCGAATGCAGGGAAGGCCAGAGGACGCTCGATGGGCCAGTTTTGGCACTACTTCACCGATGATCCGGAACCGCACAAGTTGAAGAGTGCCGTCTGCAAACATTGTCGCACCAGATTCAACCATCTCAAGAAGAGTGAGCGGGCGATGAGGCACCTGAATGCATGCGCCGCTTTTCGGAGGGCAACGAATAGCACCGAGATAGATGATCGTCCCGAGTGGTATGCGTCGAACAAGAAGTGGGCGAAGCCATTGAAGAAAAGTGGCAGCTCAACTCCATCCACATTGAGCGCTTCGTCGTTGGAGCAAGGATCGATCAAAGATTACCTAATACCCAAGCTCGATAAGCAAACGAAGGAGAAGTTCGAGCAGGCCATAGCAATGCATTACTTTGTCTCGGGCACGTCGTTCCAGCGGGTCGAGGAGGGTAACCTGGTGATGGCTGTGAAGGCCCTTTGCCCAGATGCAGTGCTGCCGAACAGGAAGAGGCTGGTCGAACCATTGCTCGACAGGGCGTACATCGACATGAAGGAGAAGGTTGACACCGTCCTGGACAATAAGACCGTTTGCCTGACATCTGATGCATGGTCAAACATCAAGAATGATACGTTTGTGAACTGCATGGTCACATCGCCGTCCACAACGTTGTTTCTCGAGTCGGTGTCCATTGGAGAGCAGGGCCACAACGCTGACTGGATCGCCTCGGATCTTTAACGTGTGATGGCGTCCCATCCGAAGACTACATTCGCTGGCGTGGTCACAGACAACACATCCACCAACAAGAATGCGTGGGAACAGCTCTCGAAGGCTCACCCATCCTCCTATTTCCAAGGCTGTACGTCGCATGGTCTGCATTTGCTTGTCAAGGACATATTCTCTGCCACGAAGACGAGGAAAGCCAGCCAATCAGAACACACATACCCGATCGACTATCCTTTCGCGTACCTGCTTGAGTTCATCGTGGGGTGCAAGGACACGGTCAATTTGTTTCACAACAGTCACATTCTCAAGGCACAGCTGCAGGCTGAACAGAAGATCGCTGGCGTTCGAGCTTTGGTCTGACCGGCTCCTACACATTGGGGAACGATCAAAGGCTGTTGCGAGACGATGTTATTGTCAGTGAGGATTCTGCATTTCATTGTCGCAGCTCGCGACTTCATCAAGGGGACGGCAGCTCAGAAATCCGAGCGCATGCGAAGCAAGACCATCATTACGAGCGACGACTTCGTCTCTCTGTTTTTGAAGTCCCTTGCCATTCTCACGCCAATCGACGCATTGATTGTCGAATATATCTATCCGATTCCGTACCAGTCTCTGAAGTCTTGCCGGATTTTCACGCCCTCCCTGCTGAGTTTGCTAAACTGCACAAAGACGGTCATGCGAGCACTAAAGAGATCAACTAGCTGATCAAGTTGGCAGCAAGTCGCTTTCAGTTAATGTACGGAAAGGCCCATGGACTAGCGTATCTGTTAGATCCTCGCTTCATTGGAGAGGGCTTGAGCCCGGAGACACCGATCAATGATGAGACGGCGGTTGATGGCAACATCCTCTGCAGCCTCGGAGCACAACTTCTCAACTATGGGCCTCATACACAGCAAGCTCGGTAACAGCTTGGCGCCCAGTTCGGTGGAGAAGTTGGTCTACCTCAAGAGCAACTATGTCCGAGGGCGACGACATGGACTCGAGAGAGGAGGACTAGTACTGATCTGGGAGTATTGCGAAAAAAAAAAACATGAGGTTTATTAGGATTAATAAGGTTTATTAAGGTTTGAACCTTAAACCTCAAATTCGGATGTGAAAAAAATTGTTTTTTTCCATCCCTGGTCCTGGCTGGCAGTATCCATTGGCTGAAAACCTGTCTTCATCGGGTGGACATGGCTATGTTGATGTTTTTCTTTTGATGAAGTTCAGCTTTTTTGAATATAACATGAGGATGTGAAATAGGATCTCGTCGTGGCTTTGCGCCCAGGTGTTAAATGTCAAATGCTAAATGTCAAAGCTGCAGCTGCTTCCTGCAGTCACGAACCAAGGAGCAATACGACAGGTATGTGGTGTCACGGCGTGTGCATATTAACCCTACACGCGGTTAAGTACAAAACGAGAAAATGAAAAACAATTATTAAATAACGAACTACAACTGGAAATGGGTTACTTTGACTGCACACAAAACGTATATAATAACACGCTGTTTATATTCTTGGAACACACATTTCAACTTCAGTGTAGCATTACTTTATTTATGATTTATTGGATGTGTAATGAGAAAACGAGAGGCTGAATATAAACATGCTTTGACTAGGAAAGTGACAGATACAAGAAGCTCGGGCAGACAGCAAATTAAGTTACATAAGCAATTTGAATAATTGGATGCAACTGGGAGGAGTATCCGATGCCAATTTGTTGAATACATATGTACGCATGTTGAACTTCTTTTTCACTGTATGTAGCCAACCGTGCTAATCGGAGGTGTGGAACAGAGCTGAATGGAAACAAGACCACGATCACCGGCGTCTTTGAGAAAGGACACACGGCTCATGGAGAGAGAGAGAGGGGGGGATTATTTTTGGTAATAATGCCATTGTGTTAGTTTAGGAACACCTCACCGAGTCTCAAGACTGGCTCAGTAGGGCTCTGTTTGGGATGTTTGGAAAATGCTTGGTTAATGAGGATATTATTTGCATGTGGGAGGACTGTCCGGACAAAACGGTAAAAAAACATCCAAACATTCGTGCAGATAAAAGTCCTTTAACTGCTTGCTGTTTAAGATCCACTGCCCATCGATTAGCCCTGCAGATAGGTGATTCCCTTTGCGTGAACCACCAACCCTGCTTCCAATGCCCTGGACTACAGGCATCCGCCACCACGTCCTGACGAAATTTAATTCCACAATAGTTTGTGTGGCATTGCAATTATGACAACAAACAGAGAAGGGCGGCACTGGCAGAGGTCTCGACTGACAGCTAGCGTTGTTGTGAAGTACAATTCCTGGTCGGGTGTCTGACCGGACAGTGTCATTGATCCAGGGTTAGTAAAATGAGTACCGCTTTGTGGGAAGACAACATTGACTATCTGCGTCGGTTGTCCACTCCATGCTGCGTGTGACCCTCACCGGCATTGATTTGCATGGCTGTGGCCCTCCATCTTTTGGATTTCCAATTGCCTCTGCTCATTTATATCTCGTCGATTTAGAAACATCACGAGTAAATTGATGTATATGATGATAGCAGTCTGACATTACGATGGCTGTGTGCCCTATAAATGTATTTTCGAGTTTGCGCTCTGTTTTTCGATCACGTGATGCACAGTTTTCCCAACTCTGCCATTCCCTGGGTATTCTCAGGCGATCACCCTATGTTCATCATGGAGATGGTCGTAGCAAAATCATCAGCTCACTCGAAAATCAGGTCGTAACATCAGATCTGTTTTGTCATAGCCCCACCTTTTCCATTGGTACCTCTTCCATTAATTGTCCATTGGGGCCTGCCCAAGGATCACCGTTAAAGGGCCCCATAACTGGTTGTACTCATTTAGCATTACTTAATGCCCGTTCCATCACAAGTAAGGCGTTTGTGGTGAACAAACTTATCACAGGCCACTGCCTTTACTTCCTATGTCTGATTGAGGCCTTGACTATTTTGTACTGAACGAAGCCACTCCATCTGGTTTCTCTGATTGTGAGAATCCACATTAATCAGGAAGGGGAGGGGTGGCCTGGCTTCATTTCATGCAAATTCTGCATTTGTAAAAACTGTCCAACTGCCAACTTTTCAGTCATTTGAGCACCTCACGTAAGATTAGAGGCCAATTTGTACCCAGCTGGCATTGTTAATATTGCTCTATCACCCTCCAAGGTTAATTCATACATTCCTCTCAGAGTACTCTGAGTTCCTCCCGGTGGTGTGTGCTCGTTCAGCCTCACTATTTATCATAAAATATTTTTTAAAAACTTCGTACTTTTCATAACAACATTGCCTTGGCTAAACCCTCCTACATTACTGGTCGCATTGAAAATAGTGATAACAATCCTCGGGCCTTATTTTCCTGTATCAGCCAACTTTTGAATAAGGAACTAAATGTAATCTCCCACTCCTCTGCTGATTTCTATACTAAAATTCAACAGTTTTTTTACCATAAAAATTCCCCTATCCAGTCAAAATTCTTGCCTCCAACTCAGTTCGAGGGCACATTGTTTCCCGAGTTTCCCGCAATTTGAACTCCGGAACTCATGTCTTTATTTGCTGTTTCTCGACCTACCAGCTGTCCACTGGATCCCTTCATTTCAAGGCTGCTACGGGCCAATTCTGTTATACTGAAGCCGTTTATCCGCAGTCTTATCAACAGGTCCTTCAAAACCAGCACAGTATCTGACATTTTTAAGATGGCTGGGGTCTTGATCCCGAGCTTCCAGAAAATGTTCGCCCAATATCCAAACTTCCGTATTTGTCTAAAATTCTGGAACGAACTTTGGTCACTCGTTTACATCAGCACCTGGCCTCAAACGATGTAGTTGACCACTTTCAATCAGGGTTCAGACGTGCGCATAGCACCGAGACTGCTCTGGTAAGGGTTGTCAATGATTTACTTTTGTCAGCAGATAAAGGCGTTGTCAGCCGTATTGATCACGGGGTTCTCCTTGGGCGACTGGAAGTTTCAATGGGGATCTCTGACATAGCGTTGTTGTGGTTCCACTCTTACTTAAATAGTCGTAGGTACTACGTCACAAAGGATGGCTTTAGGTCACCAATTAGACCAGTTCTCCGTGGTGTTCCGCAGGGATCTGTGCTTGGCCCATCACTTTTAGCATCTACATGGCACCATTGGGTATTCTGCTCCAACATATTGGCTTATATTTAGATTGAAAGCTTTCGTGACTGCAGGGATTCATCTTCTTGGTTCTTTCGGTAAAGTCACGTAGAAGGGAAATAATAAAATAATAGAAATCAAACATAATAAAATACAATTATCACGACGTTTCGGCCACAACGCAAGCAGCCGTCCTCAGGTGAAGAACAGGTCTGTCGGAAAGACACTAACTGTGAGTGCGGTGGTGGAGCGTGGTGTTGTGGTGGTGGAGCGTGGTGTTGTGGTGGTGGAGCGTGGTGTTGTGGTGGTGGAGCGTGGTGTTGTGGTGGTGGAGCGTGGTGTTGTGGTGGTGGAGCGTGGTGTTGTGGTGGTGGAGCGTGGTGTTGTGGTGGTGCTCACTCACTGCGGGTGTGGTAGTGGACCGTCGTGTGGCTGTTCTGTGGGCAGTCGACGCCAGCAGGGGGTAGTGTCTGGATGGTGATGCTGTAGTTCACCCCCAGCCGCAGGTCGTGTGAGGTGAGCAGGAACTGGGTCTGTGCACCAACGCAATACCAGGGGCCATTGCAACACAGGGCTACCCGTCTAATCCATTGCCTCAGGCCTGTGCCAGTAAGCTCGTATCATTTCCCCATTGTAAGATGAAACGATAAGTCAGCTAACCGCTCGCATGATCAGCGGACACCTTGTAGCCCAGCACATTCCGGGTTGAAAAGAAATCGGCCAATAAGCCCCAACAAGCAGGGCCTTCTTGAAGACTCGGTGAGGAGGAATGCAGCTGTATTCATTATGAAATAATCAAGATAATCAAGCATCAAGATAATCAAAACATCGAAATCTTCCCCGTGCTCAAATGAGGACGAGGCTCTGTCCACCTCCCCTGGCGGCCCAGGCGCCAGCGGTGAAAATTCCGCATTTCTGTTGCAGAGTTCCATTTTGTCCACAGGACAACGGCCTCCGACTTCTCACAAAGTGGCACAAACACCGGTGGCACAGTGCGCGTGCACGTGCGTGCGAGTGAGCGCGCGTGTAGAGAAGTACGTACGTCCGGAGGCACCTTCCTGAGCAGCACCTCCCAGCAGGTCCAGCGCCCCATGTCTCCGGTGAGGCCAAGCAGCGTCACCTGGAAGCCCTTGAGGCGGTGGTGCCTGTGCGGACTGGGACTCCAACTCAGCCGCAGGGCGTCCCTGCCCAGCTGGGAGGGCCGCTCGGGGGAGACGGACACGGAGGGGTGCCCAGGCCCCCGTGGCCCCGAGCACGTGCGGTCGGGAGGCATGGGGAACGGGGTGCACCCTGGCCACGGCCACACACACGACCACGACAACAACAATTACGACGACGACGACGAGAAGTCAACGGCCAGCGCATCTCATCGCTCGAATTCGCAAGACAGCAAGCACGTGGATCGAGCAATAAACAAATATTATTTTGACTTAAAACTTCCGTGACTGCAGGAATTCATATTCTTTGGTTCTTTCGGTAAAGTTACTTTATTTTGAGTATTATTTTTCTATCTACGTGACTTTACGGAAATAACCAAAGAATATGAAATACTATTTTATTGATCCAGAACAGCCACACCGAGTCCGAAGACTAGCTTTTAGGATAGCTCCGTATTGGGATGTTTGGCCAACAGCAATGCCATTGTGGTTGTAGCCACGGCAGGAATATGAAGCACATGGAGGAAGCCCACGTAGAACAGGGGGAGAGCAACCACACTCCACACAGGATATCACACCCAGGTCCTTCTTGCTGGCAGGCACACGTGTTACCACTGCACCACCCTGTTGCATTGGCTGCTGATATCTTTGGATGGGCTTGGCTGAGACCTATCGCTGGGCCTGATGAGACGAGAAGAATGTGCTCAAGAGGATGACCCCCTTTACTGAGGTCGTCCAGTGACAGCAATCCGTGAGATGGTTGGTGCCACCACCAGACCATCGCGAGACGTAGGAAAACCTTCATCCAGCAGTGGATTGACTATGGCTGATGAGGATATATTTGAACGTAACTAATAAAGGACTTTTTCTACCAATGCATATTAGGCAATCATTTTCGTATTCGCAAAGTCAAAGTGTATCTCTGCTCAACCAAGCGTGTCTACTCAACACAGCGAGGTACGGTTATGTTGATAACAACACAAAGGCCTCCACTATCTCAACATTCTAACTACTGCAATCAGCTTTATTTGTATGCTATTAAGCAGTATCATTGCCCAACATTTTGCCTATAAATATCATTTTAATGCTTGTGCACTACTGCTAATGCAGCATCAACTTCAAATGTGTGTTATTGTTGTAAGTTTCACGTACAAGCCCAGCTAACAACCCCTCCACGGCCACCCAATGCATAACGATCCACAGTGTGGATGCTGTTCCTGCGTCCTCTGCGCCCCCCTTGTGTTCACTGAGACACACAAATCAAGCACGACTATGGAGAAAGTCGCGAACAAAAGACACCGCTGCCTGGACCTCACGCCACGCTGCTCCTCGCGATGTCCGCACACAGAGCAGAGCGCCAACACACGCGGATCGACGACCCTTCGCTCCATTCCCATAGCCCTTCTCTCCCAACAGAACACCACCCGCACTCATGTGCTGCGTTACAGTACGCACAGATGCATGGGTAGATACACAGGGAGGTGTCAAGATGGACAGAATCGGATATTGATTGTTACCTGATAACAAAACCATCATCTGCATGGTTGTGATCTATGGACGAGGACTTGTCGCTTTCCCTGTGTCGATAACGGGACACACGAGGTTATTATATTTAAGGTATTCGCGAACGTATTATACTAAATTATTAAGTGCCAAGCCTCCTCGGGCGTTTACTCCCCTCGCCAACAAACCCCCACGGTAACTTAAGACGTGCCTCGACATTCTTACGTCACGTTGCAAAAATAATTTACCATAAGTGGGTAATTATCCCTCCGACTGCCTTGTTGCTCCTCACACGTGGGGGGACAACTTGCATCTGCTTCACATTTGCCGGCTTCCTCTCCCAAGCAGAGGGTCAAAGGGCACCAGAGTCACTGCCAGCATTGTTAAACAACAAATGTTTAAGAACTGTGCCTCATTACTAAATGTACATATTACACTACATCTTAATTTGTTGACTCGTTTACAATTAGATTTTATTGTAATATTGCGTGCGACGGCTCCATGTTTGATCAGGAGCCAGATGCCTACATCGAGGTCTGCTGGCCAGGACGAGAGGGCTTCGGCAGATCGAGTTCCTGTGGCTTTGTGATTCCTCCTCCTTTGAAGGAGCGCAGACGATGGTGGTTTAAGACACTCGTCCATAGTCTGAGTTGAATGGCTACAATCGCACGACTGTGGCTTGTGACTTTAATTTTCCGTTCATGAAGGAGATGTGCGCAACGGCCTGTTGATGTTCTGATGCGGTTGATGGCTACACCAGCAGTGTCCTCGAGGAATGTCAAAGCCAGGAGATGCGACGTTTGGGTCTCGAATGAGGCGTTAATTCTGCACGTCCCTGTTGTTCCACTGTTCGCCAGCGTTGTTCAGGATCTGGGTGAGATTCTACGATGGTGACAGCATGAACCCAGAAGGGGATCGACACTTGGTTGATGGTGAGAGTGTGCGGTTGTCGTTGGCAAGATGGCAAGAAAACGGGTCAGTTTGCAAGTCTCTGAGGTTATTTGGTGGCAGAATGTTGGCCAGAACAGGGAGCCAGGGGGTGGGTGCCAGTTTCAACGTTCCGCTCCTGACACGCGTCGCGTTATGAGATTGTGCATCGAGCATTTTGTGTCCGAGAGAAGAGTGGCCGGGCAGGAAGTACGTCACCGAGTAAGAGGCTCAGATCAGGAAGGAGCTGACAAAGGGGATCAGGCTGACTTGTCTCAACAGTTGGAACGATATCATGGGAGGTCCCATGACGGGACCTCCCATGACGGGACCTCCCATGACGGGACCTCCCATGATGGGACCTCCCATAATATCGTCAGATCATGGTGTTTTGTTTGCATGTTCACCACAAGTATATGTGGTTAATGCAGACATGATTCCTTGAAAAATGATTAAGTTTGGTGTTTTAACATCTTAACACCTGTTTTATTGCCAGAAAGGATAAAACCTATTATTATAGTTGGAACGATGTCTTTAAATGGCGCGTGTTTATTAACCCACGTGCGTCTCTTGCTGTCCCTCGGTGTGTAACGCCAACCGTGCATCTCTCCACGCTGCTTGGCACACGTTTAAGCTTTTTCTCCAATTTGTTTGCGAAATGTCCACGTTTCTGATCCACGTGTCGCAGTGTGGGCGGTGCGCACCAATCCAGACATACATTCGGTATACATTCTGTATACAATCTGGATACATTTCAAAAGAGTCGGGACTCATTGAGATGCGTTGTAACAATGAAGGCCAGGGTAGAGGAGTGCCACCTTCTCCACCAGACCAAACGCGAACACATTTCTCAGTCAGCACAAGGTACTGGCAAAGCTGTGCAGCATTCTGCAATAAAGCAGAACACAATACCAGTACCAGATCTCGATACAAATCAATACCTGCCACACAGATGCCAACTGACAGACTGTCCGGGTCAAACCGACACGTGGCAACCCTGGACCAAGAACACAATATATGCAGAATTTTTTTCGGCTAATCTATCTTTCTGACCCGCCCATACTGGACATCTGTGAAAAAGAGCTTCATAGCTCATCGGATTCCTCCTGCAGTCGAAATAAAGATTCTGATTCTGATAACCGTTGCCGTGGATTTTCAGATTTTGATTTCCATCACTAGGGGGCAGCATTTGGCAGCGCCTCAATATCCACGGGTGCAGCAGGATGCAGTTGGGATGAAGCTGGGCACAAGATGCCAAAAAAAGTGGCCATGGAATGGGTACGGGCTTCACAACACACGGAGGTGTGGAGCACTGCATGTACAAAAGCGCTCAACCAAATCCAAAACCACCAGCTGCAAATAACTGCGTGTGTGGCCATTTTGTCATTTTAAACCACGAACGAAAATCAAAGAGAGAGAAAGATGTGACCATCCCAACAGTAGTAAGACAGACACAACTGTTGACCAATTTCGTTATTATTAGCATTCATCAGTAAAACCATCAATGTCTGCTGCTGCTGCCATGCCACTGGGAGCCCGATACGGAGAGGCCTTTACACGGTGGAGACCGTTTGCCTCAAAGAAAGTAATTAAAATATTAGAATAAGTTTTCCCCCTTTTATCTGGCAACAAAACAGTTGTGTTAAGTTGTGAAAACACCAAATTGACACCTTTTACAAGGAATCATGTCTGCATTAACCACAATACTTGTGGTCTAAATTCAAACAAAAAAACATACTCTGCTAATATATGCATTGTCTTTGAAACTGATTGGTCCACACCAGAGACAGCTTTCTTTTGAGCCTCGTCTCAAACGGTGTTAGACCAAGGACGCCAAAAGGCGTACAGCCCAAAGACAATGCACTATCAATGAAAGCTCGGGTGAGTTTTTTGTTTGAATTCTGACCACAAGTATTGTGGTTAATGCAGACATGATTCCTTGTAAAAGTTTTCAGTTTGGTGTTTTAACAACTTAACACGTGTTTTGTTGCCAGATAAAAGGGGGAACCCCTATTCTAATATTTTGGTACTGGCAAAGGAGGTCCCATGATATATAATTATAATCTGTCAATTATGACAACCCACCACAATGGGTAAGCTCGTACATTCGAGACGTCTATTCCAACACAGACTTCCAAGATACACAGCACAGCCCACAAGTATCACCTGTGAAGGGTCGCACGGCACACGGGGGGGTGGGCTGGCCAGCACCACGTCCAGACGATTTTGTCTCCCGAGTGGCGATGTTACAGATTGCACCAGGTACTCATTTGAGGCTGAGTCGACCTAGGGAAGACCTAGGAGCGGATCAGATAATCGTCACCGGTGTTGGCCATGGAACTGGGGTGGTCGGGTTCGTAACACAGCGTGCTAACCAATGCACCACCGCTCCACGCCACGCAGGCACCCCCTTGCATGATACATTGTGGCACAAAAAACAGCCATACTTTCACACGTACACAGAATAAACACAAACTAATATGTAAATACGTGACGTGTCGAGCAAATGGCCTTTCTTTGGTATAGTTTTGGAAATGTTCTTCAGCCGCTGGCTTCGTAGCATAATTGCGCACGCGAGATGTGCTTCGACTGTAGTCTCGTCATCTGTTATTGGCATCTGTAGGGCGAGCGAGAAGAATCGGAGCCGGATCAGTCGGTTGCACCGTTGAGATCGGAGATTTGTCCCCATGGCATCTTCGGTGC